CCCCAAAACCCCAAAACCCCAAAACCCCATATAGCTAAAAATAAAAATATTTGATTGTGAGTATGATGAATTTTAAGGAAATAAAAATTTAATGATTTGCTCAATCATCTAAGATGAAAAAGTGAGTAGCTTGTCCATGATTGACATGTCTCTTGAATTTAATTTTTGGCTTGAAGTCCTCATGCTAAAAAGGCTATATCATCTCTTCTTCATCAGGCTATGAGTCATTGCTTTGCATTTATGAAAATGATCTGAATTTAGTTGACTTTCCAAATTAGAGACCTGTAACTCTCTTGTGAACCTGGTTATAGTTAACATCTATAGGGGTCTGATTTACTAATTTATCTTTTCCTATTCCACTAGCTAAGATGAAGTCTCTTCTTTTAGCTTGTCTCTTTAGATCGATTCCAGCAGCAAGCTTAGTATTTTTAGAAAGGATATTTGGGAATTTATCAATCATTTCAAACCTTTAATCATGTGGTTTCAAACTTGTTTTATGTACATAGTTCTCCCTTTTAGACTATTTTGAAAAATCTGGAATATCTCTCTAGCAAGTCATAATACTCATCTGACTACCTTGATATTGTTATTTAGAGTCTTTCATCAGGTGATGGTCTTTGATTGGTGAAAGTTATCTTACTTTATATCCCCATAGTTATTCAAGTTTTTATTGTTTTTTCATTACAGGATTTGAAAGGTCAAAAGATTGTATAAGTTAAGTTTGATAGTTGTTATTTTCAGGAGGAGTTTATGGTAGATTTACAGAGTTATTGTTTTGAGAATGATCAAAACTAGCAAGCTGATTATTATCTTGTGAATTATTGTTATTCTAATTGTTTTATTAATCTTGGCTTTGTCTGACTGATCGTCGATTTTGTTAAGATGCCTTGATTTAATTCTATAATTAATCCTCAATTTCCTTAATTTGCTTAGTAAGTTTAGTACAGTTGAAATCAGGCTCCCTATTATTGTCATTCGAAGGCATATTAAATATATCAGCATCTTTTGTTGGCCTAATTTTGCATATTTTTTAAGATTCATACAGTAAATCATACTTAGGAAAGTACTTTCCCAATGGTGGAGAGCATTTACCTTAATTTTGTAATTTCCAAATGTAATCTCTGCTTGTTGATTAAAACATGTAGCTTTTCTTCACAGCTTTTTGCTCCGAGAAGAGTCTATGCGATATTGGCTAAGACTATACTTAAGGTGAATTTATACTGCTTTCCTTTTTAGGAATTATAATTGGCTTAGGAGTCGCCTATTCCTCTTTTGGTGTTGGTAGCTATGGAGCTTTGGTATTTACTTCAGTATTTTGTTCTTCATCCTCTTCTTCATCATCATCTGAATTTTTCCGAACAAGTATCGAGACCTTCTATTTTTTAGCTTTATCCTCCTTCTATTTGAGTTTATCTAATCTCTACTGATCTTTTCTCTTTTTATCTTCTTTTTCCTTGTTAATTTGCATTTCTCTTTGAATCTCTATTTTTATGTATTTTGTCTTGTACAGCACTCTGAACTTGTGATAATCAAATCCTCGTTCATTTTTAGTCTTTCCAAGTAATTCTAGAAGCTCATCCCTATAGGGATCATCTTCTTCTTTATTTTGAGGTGATAAAAGATTCGATGAAGGAGAGTAAATTTAAGATTGATTCATCTGTCTTTTGCTTGAGTTCTTTCCATTATGTAACTCTCTAGAACTCGTATTTAGTTAAGCTTGGCTATCTGGTGGTTTTAAATTAGCATTTTTATGGGATTAATTGCTGTTTATTTTATTACCATTTACATCATCAGAACTTCCAAGATTTTACTATTGCTTTAACTACGTTCCTGAATTAGCATTTTTGTCTTTCTTGCTATTCTTACTATTAATCAACTTGTCGATTAAAGCTTATTTCTTCTGTTACTCAAGTAAAATCTAAATTAATATTTTTAAATCTATGTCTAATTGCTTGAGTAATTTACTTTTTCATGACTCTGTGATATAACTTCAAATTTTCGCTCCTCAAACTTGAGATAGTTCTAGAGGTCTGTCATTTTCTTAGCTTCCTTAGAGATCGGCTCCTGCACAAATTTCTTTAGATCTAAAACAAAAAAATGAATTTCTATGTTAATATTACCAAATGACATATTCTAATAAAATTTAAGATTTTTAATTCCTGCTCATTCAAAATAATATGCTTTATTATAGCTTGTGGGGTTTTGGGGTTTTGGGGTTTTGGGG